GTGCTCCTATGCCTCAGCATTTCTGTATCCCTTGGGTAAATTCCTAGCAGTGCTATTGCTGGGTCATAAGGGAGTTCTATTGTTAGTTTCCTGAGGAACCTCCACACTGTTTTCCAGAGGGGCTGTACCAGTTTACATTCCCACCAACAGTGTAGAAGGGTGCCCGTTTCTCCACATCCTCGCCAGCATCTAGAGTTCTCTGATTTGCTCATTTTAGCCACTCTGACTGGCGTGAGGTGGTATCTCAGTGTGGTTTTTCCCCATGGCTTTTATTAGTGTTTGCCCTCAATTTACAAAATCTATCTTTAACTAATATAATTATGTAACAGTGTAAGAATCTTTCAATAGTATGCTTCCACTATCCTTCCCTCCATCCTCTGGGTTAACGTTGTCACACAGTTTACTTTTACATATTTATATACCCTACATACAGTGTTACTATTTTTGCTCAAACTTAATTATTTTATAGTGTGATTGAAAATAAGGAAATATGGGCCTTCTGGGTGGGTCTCCAGTAGTTGAGCATCTAACTCTTGATTTTGGCTCAGATCATGATCCCAGGATCACAGCACTGACCCCTGCATGGGGCTCTGTGCTGAGCATGGAGCCTGCTTTAGATTCATTCTCTACCCTCCCCTCCCCCCACTTACTTGCTCTCTCTTTTAAAAAAAAAAAAAGAAAAAAAGGAAAAATAGGGGGCCTGGGTGGCTCAGTTGGTTGAGCATCTGACTTCGGCTCAGGTCATGATCTCATGGTTTGTGAGTTCAAGGCCTGCACTGGGCTTTATGCTGACAACTCAGAGCCTGGAGCCTGCTTCAGATTCTGTGTATCCCTCTCTCTCTGACCCTCCCTCGCTCATTCTCTCTCTCTCAAAAATAAACAAAAACATTAAAAAAACAAAAATTAAGTTTAAAAATAAGGAAATGTGTCTTTTCCACTTACTTTCATTTTTACCAATTCTGAAGCTCTCCTCTCTTTTTATAGATGAGCAGTTGGCATACTATGAACCAAAGATGGCCTGCTTCCTGTTTTTGTAAATAAAGTTTTACAGGAACATAACCACATCCATTTATTTATATATCATCTATCGCTGCTTTGGGGTTATAATGGTGGAGTTGAGTAGCTGTGACAAAGACTCTCTGACCCACAGAGAGTTTCTGGTCCTTTACAGAAAAATTCTGCTGACTCCTGATGCACATCCAAGTTTGTGTAGAGTGTCATATTTTCTCTGCCTAAAGAATTCTATTTTAATTATTGTACCTCAAAGACTGCTGGGGATGGATTTTCTCAGCTTTTTGTGCATTTGAAAAAGACTTTGCCCTCATTTAAAAGTGTACTTTCAATAAATATATAATTCTTGGTTGACAGTTTTTTCTTTTTTTAAAGTAATCTCTATACCCAACATGACCCCAAGGATGAAGAGCTGCATACTTCAGTGACTGAACCTGCCAGGTGCCCCAGTTCTTAAAATTTTAATAAATAATACTTAAGAGATGTTACTCTATCCTCTTCTTTTTTTAAATGTTTTTATTTAAAAACATTTTTAAATATGAGAGAGAGAGAGAGAGCAAGAGAGAGAGCATGAGCAGGGGAGGGTCAGAGACAGGGAGATACAAAACCTGAAACCGGCTCCAGGCTCTGAGCTAGCTGTCAGCACAGAGCCCAATGTGGGCTTGAACCCACGAACCGTGAGATCATGACCTGAGCCGAAGTCAGACGCTTAACCGACTGAGCCACCCAGGCGCCCCAACTCTATCCTCTTCTTGCTTGCAAAGTTTTTAATGAGGTGTCTGCTGTAGTTTATTTTTATTGCTCACTATACATGTGTTTCTCTGCCTCTGGCTGCTTTCAAGATTTTCTCTTTATTGCTGGTTTTCAGCACTTTGAATATGATTATTCTAGACGTGTGTTTTGTTTTCTAAATCCTGGATCTATTAATTTTCTCTCTATTTGAGACTTCAATCACAGGTATAAAAGACTGTCATTGTCCCATACTTTGTCATTTATCACTTTGTGTTTCAGTTGGGTTTACTGATTTCTTCTGCAACTATGTTGTCTACTGATGATCCTGAAGGAATTCTTCACCTTAATATGTCTTTTACTTCTAGTATTTCAATTAAACTTTTATTATTTCCATTTATCTGCTAAAAATCCTGGTTTGTGCATGCTGTATACCTTTTCCACCAGATCCCAGAGTTACTTCAAAATCCTTGTCTCATAGTTCCAATGTGCATCACCTCTCAGTCTGGTTTTGCTGATTATTTTGCCTCTTGACCTCTTTTCACTTTGCTTATATGCAATCTTGTAATTTTGACTGAATGTAAGACCACTGTGTATAGAAGAGCAGAGAACCATGAGAGACTCTTGAATGCTGAGAACAAACTGAGGACTGATGGGGGTGGGGGGGTGAAGGCCAGGGAGGAGGGCACTTGTGGGGATGAGCACTGGTTGTTATATGGAAACCAACTTGACAATGAACTAATTTAAAAAAAAAAGAGCAGAGAATGTGCTAAACTGTTTAGGTCTGGAAATAAGCAGGCCTCTTCCTGTTTAAGGCCTTTGGTGTGGAAAAATGAGTCAAACTAATCAGGAGTCTGGCTGAATGATTGTTGTTGCTGAAGTTACCTTCAGCTGACCAGAGGCTTCAACTTCCTCTAATGATTGGCTGCTTTTGCCTACTGCTTAGCACACAGCTGGGGTGCTGTAGTACTTTTCTCAGTTAATATTTCATCCTCAGCTTTCAAGAGAACCTATAAAACCTGTGTCCCAGAGTGGGTGTCTCTCCATGCTTTTGCCCCTCCCATAGTGGTAGACTGCTGTTGCTTTCCTATCCCTCATCTCTTCTCCCCTGTAAGAATGAAACTCTGCTTTACATCTAAAGATGACCTTGCGTTGGGAGTTTTCGCCCCTGTGTGACAGGCAGGAGACCTGTACTTGGTATAAGCATAAGATCTTAGGTCTAAGATGAGTTTCCTCTCTTCCCCCAGTCAATGTGTCTTAGTCTGTGTCTTTTGGGCAAGAGGCTTTTTGCTGCCTCTCCTAAAGCAGCTTAGGTCTCTCAGTCAGTGCTTAGGGTTCGAGGATGTTGGTATGCTTTTCTGCCTTTCCCACAATGGGAGCTGAACAGCTCCTGCATGCCTACAATGTCAACAGAATGAATTCTCTTCATTTTCCTGCTCTACCCCAAATCCTTGTGAGTATGCAGTACAGATTTGAGTGAAAAAGTCTGAGGTGAGTGTGAAATCTCCTTGACTGTTCTTTTGTCAGCTTCCCCTAGCTATTTCAAACTGATATGCTGCTAGTCCACACTGGCCTTCTGTTTAACTTTAAAATTTTAGGTGATTCCTCTTACCTGCTTGGGTTGTGACCGGTATGACACCTCCCACGGTCTGCCATAGGAATACAGTTTACGTGTCTCACTTCTGCTTAGAATTCAGGTCACATAATTACCTTGCAATTTCAGTTCTCTGATGGATTCAAAAGCAAATTCTGTAGCTTTCAGGCTTTTCCTTTCTTATCATTAAGCATGGAAATGACATTTTTTGCAGCTTTCCACACCTACGTAGTAGCTAGATGTCCTGTGATCTTCATTTAGGAGAGTTTGTTTCCATGTCTGCAAATTCACTGATCTTTTCTTTGATGGTGAATAATCTTCTGCTAATCCCATTCAGTGTATTTTTCACTTCAGGTATTATATTTTTTAACTCTAGTAATTCCAATTTCCATATTCATGTTTTCCTCTACATTTCTGAGCTATGGAGTATATTGAAATCAGCCATTTTAATACTCTTGTTTGCTAATTCCATCATGTCTGTAATTTCCTGCTCTATTGTTTTGACTGATGAATTTTACTCTTGGTTATATGGTTTCCTGCTTTTTTTCATACTTAGTAATCTGACATTATGAAGTTCACATTTTTGGGGTGCTAGATTTTGTTGTATTCCTTTAAAGAATATTGAACTTTGTTCTGGTAAGCAGTTAAATTACTTGGAATAAAGTCTGGCCCTTTTTCAAGGTTGTTTTTAAGCTTTGTTAAGGCAGGTCTAAAACAGCCTTCAGCCCAGAGCTAATGTAGCCTCCCCAACATAATACCCTTCTGAGGACTCTACACAATGCCATTTATTATGAGATCTTTCCACCTTTGCTGGCTGAAAAGAAAACTATTCCTAGCTTTGTGTGAGTTTTGGGAATTGTTCATCATTTTCCTTTCAAGTGATTCCTGGTCTCAAATTAAGTTTTCTCTCAAGCATACACAAATCAGTATTTAGCCAAAGACTTGAAGAAGTTGTTCTGCAGATCTCGAGTTCTTTCTCTATGATATCTCCTTTTTTGTCCTGCAATTTTGACCCAATGAGACTTCCTTGAATTGTTTGATTTCCACTCCCCATTGCTGTGGCCTAGCAGCGAGTTGGGAGAATTGTGGAATTCACCTTATTTATTTCCTTTCTTTCATGTACCATCTACTGTCCAATGTCTGAGAACTAACGGTTTAATCAGGACTAATATGAAAATTCCTGAGCTTTTTACGCCTCTTGAAAATTCTTCTACCAGCTCCTGCCCAGAAAAACAACAACAAAACATTTCCCAGTCCCTCTCTTGCAAACCCAGTTTTAAAAATCAGAAAGCTAGAACACAGCAAATCTTGACTCCAATAAATAATCAGACTTTCCTATTATTAATCTGCTTAGAGAAGTGCATTTGGTAGAGATAAATAACAAAACAGATTCCAAATTTGTTACTCTCTTTACATAACGGGAGTCTCCCAAATTAAATACACCTTGCTCAACTAAACTTTACCATAATAGAAAATGGGTTTGACAAACTTTCGGAAAATCTAAAAAGTTTTCTCAAACTATTTTTGTTTTCATGACATTGTAAAGAGGTTCACTTATATGTAAACCTCTAATGTTTTATTTCTAAAATACTTTGAATTCCACTATGTTTGCTGACATATTTGAATTTGGAACAAGCTGCTCTAGGAATATGATCTCCTGCTCTAACTACACACACTGTTATTTCTAAAAGGTTAAAAACCTGGCAATTTTCCAGTTCTTTCTCATCATTTCAGTAATGGAATACAATGTCCAGTTTGCCATTTCTCTTCTATTCTCCTTTGGCATCTTGACTAGTTCTCTAAATTCAGTATCAGGTATTTTTGTTGTGCATGTTTTTGGTACTATTGTACATGATACGATAAATACACATATAAATATATAATATATGCTCCAGATACCATATAATGTTAAACATATTTATGAAAATTGCTGTTATTAAAACATATTCTCTTAGAGGCCACTAGTTAATAAGAGTATTTCCTCTGTAAAAGTGAATCACATTTACAGAGGTTTTTTTGACACTTTATTTTGGAATTACTTCTTGCTTACATCAGACTATATTCAACAAAACCCAATGATTTTATTAAAATATTCTGAAAAACAATACTAAATAACAGCAAAACTCACACTTAAATTTTTATTTTGAAACAATACTATTCTTCCTCTGAGAGACTCATATCCTGGCAACCTAAATTTTGATTTAGGCTCTGATTCCGGAACTGTCTCATGTGAGAAAACTGGTCATGTTCTAATTAACTGTATTGCTTGAAAAGTCTATTACAACACTCTTGTTTTCTTCAACTTTGTTCATAAACTTGAAATTTTATTATTGTCTTTAAACATTCCAAGCTTAATCCCCACTGAAGGCTGCCAGGCTTGCCAACCTCTCTATGTGAAAAGTTCTTATGACAGAGCATTCAGGTTTCTGCTCAAACGTTACTTCCTCAGAGAAGCCTTCTCTAACTATCCTGTCTAAAATGGTCCACTCTAATTCCTTCTTCTCTCTCATCTTTTGTAAGGTTTTTTTTTTTTTACAAATAGTTTATTGTCAAATTAGTTTCCACATAACACTCAGTGCTCATCCCCACAAGTGTCCTCCTCCATGCCCATCCCCCCTCCCCCCCTCATCTTTTGTAAGGTTTTTTTTTTTTTACAAATAGTTTATTGTCAAATTAGTTTCCACATAACACTCAGTGCTCATCCCCACAAGTGTCCTCCTCCATG